AATCGGTGTCTGTAGGTCCAGAGGGCTTGGAGAAGGGAGCAGCAAATATGGCTAAGGCCCTGGCTTAGACCTTCCTGGTGGGGCCTGGAGGGGATGGGGACCCAAGGGTCTGAACTGAAGCCCCAGCCCTGTCTTCACTGTGACCCTAGGCAGATGTCTGCCTCTGGACACAGGTGACCTCCGATAGCCCTTCACATTTGTGTGTCTGCCAAACACCAAGTCTCTCTTCTGTCCTCACAGGCCTTAAACCACAGGCCAGGTTGCAGGAAGCGGCAAGGGGAAGTGCTATTTTAGGCCCATTATGGGCCATGAGGAGCCCTGCCTCGTCAAGGCAAGTGAACAAGCAGCCCAAGCTGGGTCCGGGGTAGATTGCAGGGCTGAACTGGGAAGGGGGACAGCAAGCAAGAATAAATGGGGGGCAGAGCCCACATGCCAAGTTGTAGGGAGGACACAGCAACAACTGAGGGCAGGGGAGGAAAGGGAACAGACGTGGTGCTGGGTGCCTGGGAAGAAGCAGATGATGCCCCCCACTTGGGATCTCAGCATATCCTCACAACACCCTGTGTGGGTGAGCTTGCATTTAGCAAGGTGAAGCCACTTGCTTAAGGCCACACAGCCTGGCAGTGGCAGAACTGGGACTTGACCCCTATCTGTGTGACACCAAAGCCCAACCCCAGTGGGATTTCAGACCCAAGGCAGGTTTGGACCTAAATGCAGACTGAACCTAACCGCCAGGTCCAGTCAGCCCCAGCTCAGCTCCTGCCCTGCTCCAGGCTGAGCTCCACCCTGGCCTCTTAAGGCCAGTTCCTCTTAAATGAAGCCCACTCTCCCAGTGGAGCTAAGGCACAAACACAGGAGTGCAGTCCGCCTTCCAAGGAGTAGGACTTGTTCCGCTGGGGGTTAGCCAAGCACAGAGCACTGAAATTGAAATCTGAGCCCCACCCTTCTCCAAGCCTCCTGCTTGACTTCCATGTTGGAATTCCAGTGCAGCCAGCAGAGGGAGCCACTATTTCTGGTCCACAACCCTTGAGGTGGACATATGCTCAGATCTTCTGCAAACCACATCCCATGCCTCTGATCCCTCCCCAGGCAGGACCTCAGTGGGACATGGAGCCCATGCCCGTGTCTCCCATTACCATCACAGCTCATTCCAGCTTACTGGGGCCTGGCGCTGTGTCCTGTAGGATGAAGGGCAAGCTTTCTCTGGGCTCACTTCCCCGGCTGCACTATGAGAGATTCGAGGAGATGGTCTCTGAGGTCTGTGAGCTCGAGATTGTAATGCTAAGATTCTGTGAGTCCATGTGAGATGCCAAGAGTTTTAAAAGCCTGTGATTCTGAGATTGCTTTGTTCTCGAGCCTGTGGTTCTCCAAGCTCCATAAAAAGCC